AGTTAAGGCGTGTGCACATTCAAAATAAGATACTATAGAATAATTTCTTACGTCATGTTTGTTTGTTTCCGGAAACACGGTTCTTCAGGTCAGCTTCATCAAATCACTTCCGATCTGCTCTTGTCCTTCATCTTCTGGAGACATGGTTCTTCTCATCAGCTTCATTAGATCAGGACCACAGGGCTCAGGTGGCCCCTCCAAACCAGTCACCATGGGAACAGAAACAGAAACAGAAAGAGAGTTAAGGCGTGTGCACATTCAAACTTTCAGACTTTTACGTGTTGAAGTACATGTTTCATTATATATTTTTTACCAACACATAAGACTATTAAAAAAAAAAAAAAAAAAAAAAAAAAAAAAAAGGAGAAGTAGGGAGTGTCCCACTGACTGGTGAGTTAGTGAACAAGCCCACATCTCAAGATACAATCATTCAAATCAGTCTCCAAAGAGACTGTTTACAAAGGCTTTGAGTAAAATACACATTTGATTGGATTTGAAATGGCACGTTACAGGCCGTACAAGGTGAATCCAACACAACAAGAACAGGAGATATAAGTGAACAAAGCCACACCTCCACACTTTATAATTATTCTCTCATAGTTATTATAATGAGATTTGCAGTTGTTGAGAATATGGCTTTACTGCCTTAAAGCTCCATATAATATATATATTTTTGTATAACACAGTTAGTCCTTAGTAGTTGTAATACTAAGTACTATAAAACACACTCTCACCGCTAACCCTTCTATGCCCAGAAAAACACAAGTTTACAATAAATGCAAGGTGTACTATGCAGGAATTTCTGATTTCTGATTAAATTTAAATCAGTTAGCATCCTAGCATTTTTTCAGTACAAACGAACCTGGGGCCCAATTGCGTATTACATGTATTATAATAAGATAGTTAACAATCACTCAGTTAAAACATAAGTCAATGATAAAACTTTACATTTTATCATCAAAGTTTTTATGAAATCCTATATAATAATCCTTGCTTTTTTCCTACTTAAAAATTATAACAATCATTTTCACCTCAAACTCAAAGAAAATAAAAAGTCAAGGTGCACTATGCAGGAATTTCTGTCAAACTGTAGTACTCAAATTAAATTTTACATAAATTAGATTTTAGTCTGTGAAAAGAGTAAAATGTATTATTATTACTATTATTATTATTATTATTATTATTATTATTATTATTGTTTGCTTGTTGAAATCTTACATAGTGTTCCCTACTAAAAATCTAAAATCTGTATAAATCAAAAAGTATAAGGTGTACTATGCAGGAATTTCTGTAAAACTTCAGTACTCAGATTTGAATTCAGAATAAAATTACAGTTAACTCAGTAAGAAAAGGTTATGTCTTTTCACCAATGTTTGTTGTTTTATGAAATCCTACATAGTATTCCTTACCTTCAATCTATTCGTTTTTAAAAATCAATCAATCAAGAAATCAATCAATCAAGAAATCAATCAATTAAGAAATCAATCAATCAAGAAATCAATTAATCAGGAAATCAATCAAGAAATCAATCTATCAAGAAATCAATCAATCAATCAAGAAATCAATGGGATGATGGGCGTGGTTTAAGGTGGTAAAAGTCGCCGCATTGAGCCAAGCTCTGAGTCTCAGAGGCTGAGTTCAGTCCTCGTCCGACTCAGAGTCTTGGAACAGGTGGTGGTAGTGGAACCTGAAGCGTCCAGGCGTCCCAGAGGAGGTGGAGGGGCCTGGGTCGGAGGTGGTGGGGCCTGGGTCGGAGGTGGAGGGGCCTGGGTCGGAGGTGGTGGGGTCTGGGTCGGAGGTGGAGGGGCCTGGGTGGGAGGTGGAGAGGCACGGCCGCTTGGAGCTAGGGTCGTCCTGTTCTTCATTGTCTTCATCCCTGACGCGCTTGTGTCCGCTGCGAGGAATGAAGTCCAGAGCAGGACCCACAGGAGGAGGATGTGGAGCAGCAGGAGAGCTGGGTGCTTGCGGCTGAGGAGGGGGGGTCGGGACGCGATCCTCTGGCTCCACAGCTCGAACTGGAAGCATCCACCGGACCGCCCAGAGACGAGCTAAGGCGTTGAATGCTTCTATCTGTCTATCTTCGAGGAACACTCGCCTCTCTTCTTCCTCTTCGTCCTCCTCTTCATCCTCCTCCGCGTCACTCCTCTCCCAATCTTCCAAACCAAAATCAGCGAGCCCGTCGTTCCAGTCCTCTTCAATACCTAACCCAAAATGAAACCAAGGCCCACCTACCTCCAACTCACCTTGGTCCTCCAGGTCCAGAGGGTCCTGAACGGCCACTGCAACAGATTTGATAATGTTAAAATCTCTTCAATTTGTATCTGGAGCAAGTCAGACTAGTACCACAGGCTCTACTAACTTATACTACTACTACTACTCCCAGTTATTTACGTAACATATCGAAGGTGTATGGTTTATATCTGGAGGAGCCAGAGTTTGCAGGGATGATTTGTTATATTGATGTTTGGCTCTAAACTAACTGTAGGTTTATAACATTGATTCTGATCAGTTCAGATGGCCTATTTTACTGTTACATCTATTGTGGTGTATTCCAAATTGAGCAATTAGGACCGGCTGAATACATTTGGTAGTGTATGACATTGTCATTACAGTGCTGCAATGCATGGTTCAAGAACAGCAGGAAAATAGGAACATGCGATCAAAATCAAGATAAATGATACTATAAAGAAATACAATAGACACAACACTGTCAGCTGAGTAAAGCTGTAAGGCTATAAAACTACACAATAAGTGGATCTGACTGTAGTTATGAACAGTGCAGCAAATGGACAAGAATAAACAGTAGATAAAGTGATGTGAGTATACTATATTATTTGTACAATAAGTAGCTATAACTCTGTATTATCTACAGTGCAGCATATGGACAAATTAAATCAAGTGACTTGGGTGAATTGTATCTGCAAAGTCTCTCATTATGTTACAGTATTGCACATGATTAGGCCTACTACAGGCGGACGGCACGTAAAGACCTACAGCGCTAAGAACACACCATTTTTATTGTGAATTTCTCCTTGGATTTGGGTCATACATAATTGTAATTTAAAAAATATAACCAAACATTAGGCTACAGTACATTTTGCTGGGTTCTTGGTTTTTGCCTGGCCTAATTCATTCTGTTATGAGGGTCTATTTGATGAATGAGTTCATATTTATGAATATAGTTATGGATTATTAGTTGAACCCTTTAATTAAGCATGCTTTTTATACTTTATAGGCTATATGGTTGGTCCTATAGTTTTCTTGCAGTGATTTGAGTCTGGCATCTCCTCCTAAACCAAACCTCAAATGGAATGCTCAAATTAAATCAAACACCGGGGTTTCTATGGAGATCAAATGTGCATTTTTTAAAACATTCCAATTTAGCATTGCTAGCCTAGCGCCATGTTATTTTCACAAAAATGACACTCAAACCCTGATGAATTTTGATGCTCAGAAAATACAAGATCGATTATTTCCTATAAATGTGACGATAACTTTTCACTACGCACTCGTGCTGATATGTTTCGAGCAGTTTCACGAGCTAACATGATCGAACATGAAATGGTTGAGTTAAAGTCACAAACTATCAATTCATAAACCTGTATTAGGAGCCAAACCTTACACCCATGTGAATAAAACTTCTTGGCATGAAGTATTTTGACTATGTTATTAATATTAATCATAATTTATCATGTTTGAATGTTATTGGAGTAATCTTACCTTCGGGGACGAAGTCCCGGTGGTCGAGGAGGAAGGTGAACCCGCCCATGGTGAAGTTGTCTCGATAGTCTCGGTTTGGTGCGTTTTCAATCCTTCAAAACAGTGAACAGAGAGTTACTGAGTGTTTTATAATCGCTGATGGGCTAATAAGAGATGAATACCAAAGTTACGTACAAGTGTTCACAGAGCGTCCAAGAGGCGTTTTCTCAGGTGAGAAGTGAGTAACTGAGCGAGCGGCAGCCGCTTATATTGTGCGTCCAGACGTTCTGTTGCTATGGCCCCGACGCACGACGCACCTCCTGACCGTACGTCTTTACGCCTTTGACTTGTCAGTAGCCTAATAGGCAATTAATTTGAAGAGAATAATCATTAAATTAGGGCCTGGTCCATGCGTGGTTTTACTTGTAGCCTAAAAGTTATAATTTATTTGACCAGACCACGACTCTGCTGCCAACACCACTACAGAGACCTGCACCAGTGGCGGAGCGTGCATTTCACACCTTGGCCTTCAGTAGTGCTCCATCTGAAACAATCCACTCCTCAATAACTATTTTATGGTTATAAAAGCATCTTATTATACAGAAATACAGTATAAATAGCCGTGGAGATTCCGTTCACGGAGAAGTGAGGAGAGGAGGGTGCGCGGTGCACGGAGAAGAAGTGAGGAGCGCTGGGGTGCTAAACCAGATCTAAACCAGGACTGTTTGTCGGGACTGGCCCGAAGGTGCGCCTGCGTAGGCTGTCGGGTTACCGCAGACGAAAGGACCGCGCCGGGGCCGGAGCTCCGCGCTGCCGGGGCTCAGTGCAGCTGTCGCCCGATCGCGCTTTGCGGACACTCTCTCACTCTCTCTCTCTAACTCTCTCCCGCTCTCTCAAGTCCAAGATCAGCCCTGGTGTAGTCCTGATTTAGTCCTGGTTTAGACCTGGTTTAGTCCTGGTTTAGTCCAGGTTATTATTATTATTATAAATCCAACAGTCCCTTACTTGTATGCTTTAAACTGCTTCTGATGTACTTCTTATTTGGTTAAATCCCATGATAAGATGTTAAAAACTGATCTTTAAAAAAATAATATAATAAATAAATTAAAAAAAAATTACATGTTCTTAATAAAGACTCAGATTAATAAAGTGCTAAGATACAACTTCATTAGCTAATAATAAACAGTCGATAGTTTATATAATATTTTGATCGTATAATGAAAGTAGTTTATTTTATTTTTCATTTATGTTTACGGCCGATTAGGGCACAAACCAGTTTTATTTTGGTGAGAAGCGGAAGTGCTCTGGCGTGTTCCGGTTGCGGCGAGAGGACTGTGGGATTTGTAGGCGCACAGCTGACAGTGTGGCTACTGTGTGGATATCAAACGTCCTGCTCTGTGGTGTCTCCCTCTGCACTAAATGTAAGTCCATGACACCATCACGTATATTTTACATGTCTCATTTTACGTACGGACCAACAAAATAGATGCGATGCTGCTCTTTCATACGCGCTTTTAATGGATCGTGCCGCGTGTGTTACTTACTGCGTTACTTACTGCGTCTTTCTGTCATGTTTAGCTTTTAATTTCCTACCTAATAACTATTCCCAAACATTTAGTGTTTCACGAACTGTTAACACTTTCATTCTTTGTTCAATCCGACAAAATCCTATTTTTCTGTACGCTTAAATGTGTTGTGAAAAGTTGCTAATGCTAACTGTCATGAGTTGAAATGTCATTGATTCATGAAAAATTAACCAAAATAAAACCAATGCTAGTTTAGTTTAGTTTGCACAATAACCTCAAATGCATAGAGGTTTTGTTGGTTAATCTGAATGATATTGGATGACATTAGCTATAAAATATTGCGCAATGATAAATAAAGTAATATTAAGGTGTAAACACTGTATTAAGTTATACAACATAATACGATTAAATAGCTTCATTTTGTACAGATTTATGTAGTAATAGAAAACTTGTGTCGTTGTGGCTGTCCAGGAAGTGTTTTTATCATGTGACCTTTTGCACAGATATCATTTTTTCTTCATTGATTCTCACGTTGCATGAAAGTACAGCATTACATTGTCATTCACCCGTGGCACAGCATATTTGTGGAGATTGCAACAGCTCTTTAGTCTACGTCTTAGTTTAATTTCAACACGCTGCTCCTCCTGGAATTAGCCAGTTGCATAAGAAGTTAGTAAAATGTGAGCCAAGCCTTAGATGACCCTTAGCCCCACTTCTCCTGACAGCATGCTAATCCCTTTTGCTGCCCACTCTCAGGAAGCACAGCTGATTGGTCACTTGCAGTTGCACTAGCCACACGTGATCTGCTGATGTTTTGCTATTGTCCAAGTGTTGATGGATAACACCTTTTGGCAAATCTGTGTTTTTAGCATCATACTGACAAAAGAGGAGGATGTCCAAGACCACAAATAATCCCTTTCAGCATTTAGTGGAGCCACTGGAACCCACGCAGCCAGACCAACGCTTTTATAATCTGACCAAACTTGGAGACCCCAGATATGGTAAGTGGAAAGTAGATCTGTCACGATAACAAACATAGAAGCACGGTATATTGCTACAGAGATACACTGCAGTATAATTTTTTTTCCCCACAATTTTAAATTATAATCCCACAATAGACACACACTTCTACATATATACATAAATATGTACATGCATTTGACACATTTTATGTATGCCAATATGTAAAAACTATGAAAAAGACATGGACACCCAAAGAACCTGGGCAAGATTGTATAATATGGGGTCCATCAACACCATGTTATTAATTTAATAACCTGACAGATTAAGTTTTTGGTTAAAGTACAACAACAGACAAGACAAAACATAAATAAATAAATAAATAAAAGAAATTAATAATAATAATAATAATTGCAAAAGGAAAAAAGCAAAAAAAAACAAATTAAAATACATAATAATATTGAAACTGTTGCTTCTGACACAATTATAATAAAGCAGGATAATCCAAGTTAACAAATATAAAAATTTATATCAGAATGAAGGAATTATTGCCTATAGAAATTACATTTTTATAGCCAGGCTGCCACCACCTAGTGCTTCTGCTCAATTTTATTTCTCTCCAGCGACTAGGTCAGGAATCAAAATACAATAGATGGTTCGCAAAAAAACCCAGAAGTGCGAGTCTGGGCACCAGCCAATCAGCGAAGAGCCATATATTCTGTGTTGTCAACGATTCTCAAGATCGAGGATTTAAAGCTGGAACAAAGAGAATGTTTTGTGGATTTTATCAAGGGGAAAGATATTATTGTCCTTCTTCTTACGGGATTTGGGAAAAGCTTAATATACCAGTTAGCCAGGTTTGCGGCACATTACATACGACCAAATAGCAGCGACTGATTAAATGATGAGTATAAGTACCCGCCTACCATCGAGCGTACGAATTTTAACACTGTGAGGTCAGACAGTATCTACGAAGTGAATCGAAGTAAACCGGCTGATGAATCAGGCTAACATTTTCAACTCTCTACAGCAAAATCTTTTTATATTACAACAAAAGAACTGAATTCTCCCCACTATTGCAAAGAAAATGTACACACAATAAATATTTAGCTTCAAATAATATATTGTTCCAGGTTTCATTTATTGAATGATAAATTGGTGTAGTAATTATCTTGACAGGCCTAGTAGAAAATGTCCTTGAATGTATAAACTTGAATGGCATTTATAGCGGTAATAAAATGTTAAAATGTGCATAGACCGCCTGCCCTTCTCCATCCGTGTGTTGCTGGAGTCTGCGGTGAGGAACTGCGATGAGTTCCTGGTCAAGAGCGCAGACGTGGAGAGTATCCTCAACTGGAAGGAGACCCAGACCAATACTGTGGAGGTGCCTTTCAGACCGGCACGAGTCATTCTCCAGGACTTCACGTAAGACGAAATGCTGCTGACTAAATCGCTAAATGTTTACTAATTTGTCTTTACACCATTTCATTTAATCTGATGTATATATGTTTTTAGGTAGGCTACACATATTTATATTAAACTTTAAATATTAGTCAGACAGTAGAACACACTGGAAGTATAATCTACAAACCAAAACGTGTGTAACCAGTGGACCTAATTATAGAAAGGACTTTTCATCAAAGTCACAAAATGTTTCATCCGCCTTGTGCCAGTCTGAGTTTATTATTAGACTGGCGCTGTCTTTGTGATAATATCTCTTTCGTAACAGTTGGCATTAGGGATGGGACAAGAACTTGTGAAACAAAACTGACAAGATTGTGCACACATAAGGAAAATGATCTTGTGAGAATTTTTTCCTCATATTTTTGCCTTGGATAAAAAATGGCCAAAAAACATTGCGGTGTAACTCCTCTTGAGAAGTTATAATACCAAAAAGCAGTGCTACAATTACTGCAAAACTATAAAATTAACAAAATAAAAATTGTGAAGCCAAAATTGTGAACTGAATGGCAATTTAGTTATTCAAAATTATATAAATCTCGTTTTGTCTCATTCTCGTGGACTGAATCTCATCTCATCTTGTACAAATTGTGTCTCATCCCATCCCTAGTTGGTGTGTCCAGTATTTCCAGTGTTCTTAGTTCAGATGATGATAAACCATTGATCATTTTAATAAAGTATTGGTTACAAATTATAATCAGATTAGTCACTTCAGCCCTAAACTGAATTTAATAGCTCACTTTAGAGTAGAATATTGTTTAAAAATATGAAAAAAACATTGCCTAACAATATTAATTATCCTAAAATAGAAAAAAGAGAAAAAGAAACATAAATGCCTGTGATTTATATTCTGCTAAAGCCCATTCTTTGTATGCCGTTGCGTTTTACTGCTCTGTCCTTGACTGTGTGAGCTCACGTTTTGTCCACAGAGGCGTCCCGGCGGTGGTGGACTTTGCTGCCATGCGTGATGCGGTCATGAAACTCGGGGGAGATCCAGAGAAGATCAACCCAGTGTGTCCCGCCGACCTGGTCATCGATCATTCCATTCAGGTGGATTTTAACAGGAAGTACGTTCCGCTTTGGCTTTTCTTTTTACCAGTACCATGACATGTTAACATTCCTGAACAAAACAACAATATATTCCCAGTTAGTGTTGTCACAGAGTAGCCGCTGGGTCTTAAAGGTCTTAAAAATGTCTAAAATTTCATGTTCCTAAATTAAGGCCTTAAAAAGTCTTAAATTATTTTGTCCAAGTCTTATTTTTTCACAAAGGTCTTACATTTTATTAGCCTATTTTTTTTGTTTACTCAACTGGGCTGCAGTGCGATGTTAAATGGAGGAAGGAGGAAAAACATGTAACGTGAATGAACATCTAATTTGGATTATGTGCAAACAATACTTTGGTTTCTGGCGCTGGATGGATCATGGGGAAGTGTAGGTTTAATCCACAGTGGCTCTTTGATTCTAGATATAGTACGGTAGTTGGTTGGTCATTATTAGAATTGGATCTGGTGTTTTTCGCCCGCATAATGGGTGCGATGTTGGTCTTAATTTTCATTTAAGTGGGTTTAAAAAGGTCTTTAAAAAGTCTTAAAGTTGAGGTAGTCAAACCTGGGGATACCCTGTGTCACGATACTAACATTTTAAACTGATACTAAGGGGAAGGTTTGATACTCAGTACTGTTTTTGATACAATATTGATGATAAAAGCTCTATAATAACACAAAACAACACAGAATAACAACAGTTTCTCCAATATGTCCCTTTAATGGTCAGATTCTAAAATGTAATGTAAAGGTGGTATTTGTCATGCAATATTCAAAAGGTAAATTCACAAATGTTGAACCTGATAATTTCTATTTTTGACTACTGGATCCATCTCACTATATTACAATAAACCTCAGCATTTAAATAATTTTAATTTTAGCTGCCCCGTCTGTCTTAAATCATATTTTCCTATAGAATCCAGCAATACTAGTTCTGATCAACTTAGACTTAGACTTAGACAAACTTTATTGAGCCACAAGGGAAATTATTTGGACACAGTAGTTCACACGTCACAATATAATATAGTAACAAAGAGTAAAAAATATAAATTGTAATAATAATTCTAAATAAGTAGCAAAAAAGAGCAACAGGCAGGTGTGAAATAAGGTATAATTGTATAAATGAGTATATACAAGTCAAAATAGAAAAATAAGTAATAAAATCAAAATTCAAAAACTATTCAGGAAATGTCCAATTTTGTTATTTTTGTTCCCAGTATCAAGACTTGAGCCTCTAGTTTCAATACTAGTTTTAGTATTCAGTAGTATCTGGGTATTGATACTTTTAACAATCCTAATTATATACTGTATGTTTGCAAGTATTGTATAACTCCTGACTATACTGTGTGTACTTTTTCGTAGGTCTGACAGTCTTCAGAAAAATCAAGATTTAGAGTTTGACCGTAACAAAGAACGATTCCAGTTTTTAAAGGTAAACCTCCTCATTACAGTGTTATCATATGTGCGTTGTAAATCATATGTTTATAGTAAATATTCCCCGTCTCTCTCAGTGGGGCTCTAAAGCGTTCAGAAACATGCGCATCATTCCTCCGGGCTCGGGTATAGTCCACCAGGTGAACCTCGAGTACCTGGCCCGAGTCGTGTTCAACTACGAGGGCTTCCTGTACCCGGACAGTCTGGTGGGCACCGACTCCCACACCACCATGATCGACGGTCTGGGGGTCCTGGGCTGGGGTAAGAGAATTTGATATCTGTTCAGTTTTAGTTTGATTGAAATGCAACCAAACAAACTCGTCTCTCGAAACATCTGCCTCCTCATCCTCTTCTCTCTAACTCTCTCCATATTTTCCTTTCAAAACTGTCTAAATTCCAGTTCAATTTTATATCAGTTTCTCTTGGTCTTTGAGTAGGTTACGTCCATGTTCCTAAGTTTGATGATGTCTTGATTTCCGAGAGAGCAGGGGTCTATTAGCCACGCTGGCGCCACCTAGTGCCTCCGCTCAATTTCATTTCTCTACAGCGACTAGGTCAGGAATCAAAATACACTAGACGGTTTGCAACAACCCTTGAAGTTGTAAACCGCACACCGACCAATCAGTGAAGAGCTGTGAAGCCATGACGTCAAATTCAAGCGTCTGTCTGAGTCCCTTTTGTGGTACAGCACAACAGTAAACAAAGCGTCGAGATGGATGTAGATGAAGACAGACATTCTGTGTTGGCAACGATTCCCGAGATCGAGGATTTAAAGCCGGAACAAAGAGAATGTTTGGTGAATTTTATCAAGGGGAAAGACGTTATTGCCCTTCTTCCTACGGAGTTTTGGAAAAGCTTAATATACCCGTTAGTCCTGTTAGCAGCGCATTACATATGTCACGACCAAATAGCAGTGATTGATTAATAAAAAAAGTACCTGTCTACTGTCGAGCGAATGAATCATATTGCTGTGAGGTCAAACGGAGTGAAACCGGCTGATGAATCAGGCTGGGGGTCTACATAATTCTGTGGAAGATTCACCGTTTTTGAATTACATCTCCAAACTTGTCATCCACAAACATTGAATCCTATCATTATTTAGTTAGTTTAGTTAGAAACTCCATGAAGTTGCTTATTTATTAATTTTATGCATTTTGTTTTTTTATGCCAACAGAGAAGACACTGAACTTTGTGCCCGTTTGTGTTTCATACGATTAGGTCCAGTAATCCAGAGATGTTAACCATAAGCCATGCCAACAAATCTGCAATCTGACAGTTAAAAGACAGATTTTACTGGAGAATTTGTTAGAAGACATTGTTAAATCATAGAATATGTACATTAATTCCTTGCATATTTCTGATGTTGTAGGTGTTGGTGGTATAGAAGCAGAAGCGGTGATGTTAGGACAGCCCATCAGCATGGTCCTGCCCGAGGTAGTGGGGTACAAGCTGTTTGGGACCCCCGATAAACTCATCACCTCCACCGACATCGTCCTCACTGTTACAAAGGTATTTCACGCAAAGTAATATCTGTAGTAATGGTAGTAATTTCTGTACTACATGCTAAAACGTGTACGTGTCCAGCACCTCCGTCAGGTTGGCGTAGTGGGAAAGTTTGTGGAGTTCTTCGGGCCTGGCGTCGCTCAGTTGTCCATCGCAGACAGAGCGACCATCGCCAACATGTGTCCTGAGTACGGAGCCACTGCCGCCTTCTTCCCCGTGGACGACGTCAGCATGCAGTACCTCAAACAGACAGGTCAGAGCCCGCTTTTATAATTATTATGAACTATTATATATTTAGGAAAAAACATACATGTAAATACTGATTATTTTTTGTTTGTTGATATGATCTCTGCCAGTTTTCATTTTCTTCCCAATGTCTATTTTTAAACATTTAAGTAAAAAAAAGCGATTGATTGATTAGTTTTTATTTCGACTTTGTGCCAAGAGGGAAACAAAAATGATACATACTACATATATATTATAAACAACAGAAAAGCACATCTCGAAAAGGAGTGAGAAGAATAAAAAAACTTATATTAACCCACCTCTGCTCATTACAGTTTTGAAAATTCAATAATCATGTGGTTGCTTATGAACACTGATGATGAAACTTTACAAATATTAACATACAGCAAAATAAATGACATACTATGCATACTAAATATAATTTGAAACCAATCTCTTTATTTTTTTGTATTGTATTATGATCATACACAACTAATCGTTTATGATCGTATCAAAATAAGCAAAATGAGATAAAGAATGTAAGGATTTTTTTTTTCCTTTTATGGTTGTACAAACTAATAATATTGTTAACGAAGGCACAAAAGTTTATCATTTGTGATCTTACAAAATAAACCACAAGGAAGTAGCTTAGTAGCCAGGCTGGTGCGATCTAGTGCCTCCGCTCAATTTCATTTCTAACCAGCGACTAGGTCAGGAATCAGAATACACTAGACCCCAGATGTGTGAGTTCGGGCACCAGCCAATCAGCAAAGAGCCATACATTCTGTGTTGGCAATGATTCCCTAGATCGAGGATTTAAAGCCGGAACAAAGAGAATGTTTGGTGAATTTTATCAAGGGGAAGGAAACGTTATCGTCCTTCTTCCCAGGGAATTTGGGAGAAGCTTAATATACCAGTTATCCCCGTTAGCGGCGCATTACATACATCACGACCAAACAGCAGCGATTGGTTAAATGATAAAAAAGTACCCACCGACCGTCGAGCGAACGAATTCTAATGCTGCGACGTCAAACGGTTTCCACACAGTGAAACAGGCTGATGAATCAGGCTAGTAGTTTAGTGTGTGTAAGTTGAATTACATTGCCAATTTAGTTTCACGTGTCCAAAATAATAAATAAAATAACCAATGCCCAAATACTAAACCATGTTCAAATTAATATCTAGTTTTAATGCGAGTTTTAATAATGGTTCTAGTATTATCTATACTGAAAAATCACAAATAAAACAAAGCTAGAATTAGTTTAAGACCACTTGATATTATTTAAGAAAGTTTTTATTTTGATGAAATTTAAATGCTTTTGAAGGAAGTGTTTTTTTTTTTTTTTTTTTTTAATCATTGTGCTGTTGAAATCATTATGGAGAATTGATAGCAAGTGTTCGAAATGTCAGTATAACAACAGAAGTTCATTTACGTGAATATCTGGTAATTTGAGCTGAAAATGTCACTTTTGCAATAGTTTGTTTGTTCACCTAATAGTTTGTACATTTGTATTTTTAATTAGGTCGTGAAGAGGAAAAGCTGAATTATATTACGAAGTACCTGAAGGCCGTGTCCATGTTCAGAGACTACACAGATGTCTCTCAAGATCCTGACTTTACTCAAGTGAGTCTTGACATTTAGGTTTGTTAATCAGGGTTTGTGTCCTGCAGCCTGTTCTGAGAAAGCTGCTGACATTTCCTCCAGCTGCGAATGATGTTCCTAGAAAATCTTCCCTTGTAATTATAATGAATATGAATAATTATAATGATAATTTAATAATGCATTCAAAATCAGAATCATGTTTTTTCTGTAATGACGAAATCTAAAATGAGCAAGTAGTGGAACATTACTTTTGCCACAGTAGAAGATGGAAAAGACAAAAGACTAATTCATACTTGATAGTAAAAACCACAATATTCACGTATTAATTGAAAACTTATGTACATTATAAGTCAGAAAACTAAAAACAGTCGATAAGAGCAGTGTATACGACTGAAAGGTTTTCAATTTTCATTCTTCACTCTTCTCTCTAATCTCTCTCTCTTTTAAATTTTATGATGATTATTTATGTTTTGATTTTTTAAAATTGTGATTTTAATGTATTTCTTATTAATTAAGCACTTTGAATTACTTTGTGTACGAATTGTGCTATACAAATAAACTTGCCTTGCCCTTGCCTTGCCTAAGAGAAACTAAATATTTTAATATTAGGACTTGCTTTCCTCAGTTTTATCTAAAATGTTTTGTAGGTTGTAGAGTTGGATCTGTCTCAAGTGGTCCCCTGCTGCAGTGGCCCCAAAAGACCTCAGGACAGAATCCCGGTGTCAGAAATGAAGAGTGACTTTGAGAGCTGTCTGGGAGCTAAGGTCGGTGCATTTGTAAATATTAAAATCTGTGTAATTTCTCCGAAGCTAATGGTTCTTTGTTCATCCATTTCAGCAAGGCTTCAAGGGCTTCCAGGTGGATCCCAAGAGCCACAACAACGTGGTGCCCTTTGAGTTCAATGGGACCGAGTATGAGCTGAGCCACGGCTCTGTGGTGATCGCCGCCATCACCAGCTGCACCAACACCAGCAACCCCTCCGTCATGCTCGGGGCAGGTGGGTAGGAGGGAGTACCATTCTACTACAACAGACCAAGGCTTCACAGATGTATTGATAAATCAGACACTTTTTCAGACACTTATATTTCAGGCAAGTAGGAAGTATTGTAGTTTGAACGGGAGGGGTGGGAGCAGCAAATATGACTGGCAAACATGTTTCAACATTTTATCTAGACTGTAATCGATCTACCACTGCAGCAATTAATCTGAATTATTTTAGATAAGTTTAGTTACAGACCTAACTGACAACCGAAATTGTTAATTGCACAATATACAGACTCTAAGTTGGGGGTCTCCAACCACTAGCTCAGGAGCTATCAGTAGTTCTCCACCCTCTTCCAAGTAGCTCGCCAAATAACAAAAATCTTTTTGAAGCCTGTTGTGCACTAATAGATGTCTATAAAACATAAACCATTGTCCATTTAACCGTGCCCAAAGGCTTACCCTGTTTCTTATAATCCTCACAATTTCTTGCGGCCACTAAAATGAGTAGCTCTCTGAGAATTTGTTTTTTAAAGGTAGCTCAATGGAAAAAAAACATTGGAGACCCGTGCTCTAAAATATGCCATGTGTGAAGAGAGTTATTTCCATAAATACAATGTAAAAATACAAAAATGACGTAAAACAGGGCAAGACTTTTAAAAAAGCCTAAAATAAGCTCTAACAAGAAGTCCTCAGGCATTGTAGTTCTAGCTAAAATAGTAAAATTTCTCCTTTAAACAACAGTTATGTTCTGTAGGTCTCCTGGCCAAAAAGGCGATAGAACACGGCCTTAGTGTGAAGCCCTACATCAAGACCAGCTTGTCCCCGGGCAGTGGAGTCGTCACCTACTACCTGAAGGAGAGCGGGGTCATGGACTACCTCTCTCAGCTGGGGTCAGTGTTTCTTTCTTTCTTGTTTTTTTTTTTTTTTTACTTTTCCTAATCATCACAAACACAATGTCTTCTTTTTATTACAAAGAAGAGTAAGTAAACTTGATGTTTTGTGCATCTCCAGATTTGAGGTGGTCGGTTATGGCTGTATGACCTGCATAGGAAACAGTGGACCTCTGCCTGAGCCTGTGGTGGAGGCCATTACACAGGTACAATGTTTTATACTTTATACTTTATACTCTTGTCCAAGCTCAGGCAAGAGCATACATTTTTCTGACTATAAGTCGCTCCGGACTATAAGTCGCACTTTTTGCGGTAAATTTATTTTATAAAATCAGAGACCAGGAACCGACATTTTATCTTAAAAGCCAAGTTATAGTAACAACAATAGCAGAGAGAACAACAGACTGTTAACGTAACATATGAACAGTTCTTCAGATAATTATAGCATAAACAACAGAACAGAACAAGTTTACCAAACTCTCCATCTCACTCCAAATCACTAAATTCATTGAATTCTTCATCCTCAATGTCACTTTTGAGCAACTCTGCGACCTCCAGAGGTAAACAGAGCGCCACTTCCTTTTCTGTGTAGCTGTCGTCAGACTCCGTTCCAATTAGAATTATTCTGACCTTTCTGAATCCCGACAGGATGGTTTCAGTTGTCACTGAAGTCCAGGTTTTTTTCGATCCATCCAGTGACTTCCCGGAAAGTTGCACGATGCACCCGGGTGCTGTGAAGCTGCGTTCTCCATCCCCGCTTTCCGCCAGTCCCTCACAAGTTGCTTACTCACTCCAAACTTTCTTTCTTTGCTGCTCAATTAATGTTTTCAGCTGAATATTTCACTGCTTGCAGCAGGACAGAGGCTTTTTCTGCAGGATACGTGCAGTAGAGCGAAGTGACAGTGGTACAGGAGTAACAGGAGCAGCAGATACTGACACACAAGCCTAGAGCCTCTCGCAGCTTCAGTGTGAAAATTTAAATATATAAGTCGCACTGGAGTAAAAATTGCAGAACCACCCCAAACCATGAAAAAAAGTGCGACTTATAGTCCAGAAAATACAGTATTATGTAACTGATTTGTCTAGGAGATAAGAATACTTTTTACATCTTTCCAGTCCAAATCTCCAAACATCATCACAATAAAACACGTTGCATTAAAATACTGTATCATAAAAGTCAAATCTTTCTTAGTTGATGTGGTCTGTTGTGTGTCAGGGGGACCTGGTAGCAGCTGGAATCCTCTCTGGGAATAGGAACTTTGAAGGACGAGTTCACCCAAACACCAGGGCCAATTATCTGGCCTCTCCTCCTCTGGTCATCGCTTACGCAATCGCCGGGACGATCAGGATAGACTTTGAGACGCAGCCCATAGGTGAGTGCGCTGTGATGTAAGATTACTGCACATTTGTACTCACAAAAACTATTAACATTACAATCAGAAGGAAAATAATAAACCATTATGAAGTGATTTTTTTGTGTTTTATTGCATCATAATGAAAGACGCCATCCAAAAGTTAATGTTGCCTAAACTAAATTAATACTTTTTCTTTATTTGAGAAGATTTTTATGCATCTGCCATTAGAAAAAAAAGAATATATTTTTTCTTGTTGTTGTGAAATGTGACTGGTTCCACTGGATTCTACTTCAAGTTAAAATTCAATTCAAGTTTTCCACAAGGATACTTTAATTAGTTTTTTTTTTTAATCTATGCTGCATGAAGAATATGAAGAATTTTCTGTGAATGATGAATTTACTGCATAAAAATATAATTAAGTAAGACAGTAATGGTCACCCCAGCCCAACACTGTCAGGTTAATCCCATGTTAAACCACACTGTATTTGTATAATCATCATATTCATGTTATATCCTGTTCTTTACTGTTTTTTTCTTCTCCTTTAGCCATTAATAATGAAGGTAAGGAGGTGTATCTACGAGACATCTGGCCGACCCGAGAGGAGATCCAGGCTGTGGAGAGAACCTACGTCATCCCATCCATGTTCAAAGAGGTCTACGAGAAGATCGAGGTGGGTGGGACTACTTCTGCTTGAGTTTTGTTGGCTAAAGTGTGTATTTAAAAGTATTCTGATCTGTTTATTCTGTTTACTGTAACAGAAAGTGAATGAGCGCTGGAATGCTCTGGTAGCTCCTTCCGATAAACTCTACACCTGGGACCCCAGATCCACCTACATCAAGTCTCCTCCATTCTTCGAGGGTTTGGTCAGTAAAGATTTAATTTCATATGTTGTATTTAGGGCCCGACCAATATGGATTTTTTACGGCCAATATGATACAGGAAAAATGGGAGTTGGAGCTGTCGATATAAAAGTGATGTAAAAATTCACTGTAAATCTTCAGTTGATTATAAAATTTAGGTTTGGCCCTACTGGATTTTAACTCGGATTTATTTAGGCTACATTTATTGTTATTCTGATCCTTTACATCATATTTAAAGACAGTAGGTTGGCATTTTTGCATCACATTCTAGTCAGTAAATTAGTAAACTAGTGTAAATGCTGATCATTCACACCTCTGTTCGCAGCTCATCTATATATCAATGCAGATCCAGTAATGTGTATGCACCCACTATAGTCACTTTACACTAGGCCAGTGGAAGAGAAAACAGGCTGTTTATGTGGGAGCTACAGTAACTCATCACTAACCAATGAGACAGAACCAGAAAGAGCTTCAAAACCGACACATTTGCAACACTCACCGCTCACACAGGCTCCTCTCAGATCACAAGTCTTTATTAATAAGTGTTGATTGATTGATATTTGATAAATATTGATGCTGTGCCACATATTAGGTAATTTATCTGTTGGTAAATTGGATTAAATGGACATAAAATAGAGAGTCTAAGCTGTATAACGAGGTATAACATGCCCATGTGAACTATTGGCCGATAATCAAATCAAATCAAACTTTATTTATAAAGCGCTTTCATACAAAAATGCAACTCAAAGCGCTTATAATATTGGCCATCTGATATATTGGTTAGACCCTAGTTGTATTCATGACATTTTGTATTTTTATTTCATTTATTGACAGCAGGAACTTGTATTACTGTACTGATTCTCATTTGTTGTTAATGATTGGGTCTACAAATGAGCCATATTGATATTGTGGCTGAAAGTCCTTTTTAGCTAATAACAACGCCTTTGAATAATGATTGAAGTGATTATTAAATACTACCATTTTTCCTCTTCATTATTAAGAAAATAAATTGCCTTTGGTTATGTCCCATGTGGATAGGCCCACTTTTTAGATATTAACCATAAACCAGGTCAAAACAAAACTGCAAGCATTTTTTTAATATAGTAAATCTGTTTTTATTTCCAGACTATGGAGCTGCATCCTCCCAGGTCCATCATAAATGCCCACGTGCTGCTGAACTTTGGAGATTCTGTGACCACCGACCACATCTCTCCTGCAGGAAACATCGCCCGGAACAGCCCCGCAGCGCGCTTCCTCACCAGCAGGGGGTGTGTGACTTTGAATCTCCAATCAGGCAAAGTTACATGTCAGATCTGTGGAGAGTTTGATGCCATACTGTGAAACATGCAATAACAACTTCGTAGAACTACTTCATGATGCATATTTCAAACTAAACCAAATTATTTACTTTTCATTGCTGTAAGATTGAAAAATAAGTCTTCTCTTTTTGCGCTCTGTCAGACTGACGCCGCGTGAATTCAACTCGTACGGCTCCAGACGAGGGAACGACGCCATCATGGCCAGAGGGACCTTCGCCAACATCCGACTTTTCAACAAATTCCTCAACAAACAAGCTCCACAGACCATCCACCTGCCCACGGGAGAGACTGTACGCTTAAAGATACTTACCGGTACATTTTACTCAGTACTGATCATGTGGCTTACACTGTGTTGTCATGGGAACAGATGGACGTGTTTGATGCCGCTGAACGATATCAACAGTCGGGAGTACCTCTTCTAATTTTAGCAGGAAAGGAGTACGGATCGGGTAGTTCAAGAGACTGGGCAGCTAAGGGACCATTTTTACTGGTGAGAATCTTGTAATTTTGTCAGTAACTTCATAATAACTCCACCATCATAGCCTAATTAAAGCATGAACAAAGACTGAAGTCATGTTGAACAACTAGTTTATTAACCTCTTTATGACTCTCAATTCAAACTGAATCTATTCCTGAACCCTTTAGAGCTCAGACGAATGGCTGGACTCTTTGTGAACTAACTGTCTCTGTATTCTCATTTGAATTGGGAACAAGCTCTGAACAGAGGACGTTTTTGGAAGTGAATATAAGAACAGGTATATCTGGTGTTCCTGGGGATGGACTGAGACAATTCCCATGTCAAAGCTGAAGCAGATCTCAGTAAACATGAGATTTAGGGACTTTTGTAATTCATATCAAATTCCTATTCAGTTTTTTTGAATTTTTGTGTTATTTTTTTTATTTGTGTGTTTGGAGTATAAACTGGTCCAGATTCTCTTCAGAATTGTTGACATGAGAATAAGTGGGTTACAGATTTCCATTAAGGTTTTACATGTCCATGAGTGTTACGGCCCCTGCTCGAAGGACATGACAACGGCGACGTTTTAGCCTGTGAACATTCATTTATTATATAAAACATGAATCGTGAAATGGTGCTGGCGGCGTGGCGGCGTGGTGGTGCGGTGGCGTGCCAGCAGGCAGGGCAGTGGAGGGAGGTGAAAACACCTGGAGACAAAGGGAGAGTAACAGGAAGGGGCAGGGCAGAGCACGGCCAGGGCCGTAACAATGAGATTGAGAGTTTCCTTTTATCAGAAGATGGATGAACAGAAATAAATTAAGAAAAATTACAAGGGCCCTTATCAGCCCCCTTGAAACATTAACACATTAAGAATTATTTATTCTTGGTTACTACTTAAGTAGTTAGTAAGCCTGAATTATGTATCAGTCAATCAAGTGTCAGTTTAGGGCAGTTTGAGTTATAAAACAGAATAACTCTGTCTATGTCGGCACCACAGAAATGTCCATGTGAAAGGCAGAGTCAATTTAATCAATATCATTTCAAGTGATATGACCACATAGAGCTGTTGTCTGTTACCTATGGCCAACCAGGAACTAAAATTATTCACTTAAACGGGAAAAAAAAGATTTTCTGTAAAATTTTACAGATGAGGTTAATTGTGTTTTAGTGAAAACAGTAGTCTAATATGCACTTAAATAAACAATTAGTTCATAATTATTCGAGTCTTTGTACAGGCTTTATTAAGGTCTAGTAAATATAAAGTATAAAGTGCAGAGTGTTGCCCTTATCATCATCTGTAATGTTATTTTAAGGTGGACTATTCTTATTTTAAGGTGGACTACATGACACTGTTGTCTTGTCCGTAGGGTATCAAGGCAGTTCTAGCCGAGAGTTACGAGCGCATCCATCGCAGTAACCTGGTGGGGATGGGGGTGATCCCTCTGGAGTACCTGCCCGGGGACACTGCAGACAGCCTGGGCCTCACCGGGAGGGAGCGATACACTGTGGTCATTCCAGACAAACTAACGCCCAGAATGAAGATCGATATTAAGGTACGGAGCGAGCACAGTTCACCACAGATGTCTGTCAGTGAATGAATGAAAACTTTGAATACTGTTTGTCACAGTTCTGCCCATTGTTTACATGAGCTCCCCAGTCCAGCTCCATTTCCCAGTCTGTTCCAGTCCTCATTTTACTACCTCCCTCCTTTTCCTACAGCTGCTACTCATTCCCTATCATCTCAGGGTCGTCTTTATAAACTCCAGCTGTTCATTTAGTCTTTGCTCGATTGTTGACGTGTCAAGAGAGACACTCAAGCTCTGCATCTGAAACTCTGTATCTGATATCTGCTGTTTGCAATTTGTGTAATTCTGCTTTATTCCCTGTTTGAAGAACCTGTTTCTGAGTTTATTCAGAGCCTGTTTTCTAGTTGTATTTCTCAGTTTTGGAGGGTATTTTAGTTCAGATAATAAAATCATATATTCCTTTGTTATTTATCATTACCTATAGAAGGACACTTTCTATTGAACTGTACTAAGACGTTTGCGTTGGAGTCCAAGTTGCCAGCGTGATACTGTCATTAAATGTCACTAGTTTAGCTGCGTTTTAACTTTAAGACTGTAGTAGATGTTTATGGTTGTACAAGGAGGCAAAACTTCACAATAATTATTGATGATCAGTTTTTTATTTGATGATTAGTCTTTAATTATAGACAGGGTTCCTATGGTCAGGGAAATCTTGGAAAAGTCAAGGAATTTTAGTATTTCTTTCACAGAACTACAGCGTTCTGTTAAGTTCTCATTAGGCTATTATGATTATTTCTGAACGTCTGCGCCTTTTGTTTAAAAGAGACGACAATAAATGTACTGACAGTATTTTGAATGTTAAAAAACTATAATCCCAAACCATAAGGTGAGTGGAAGGGATTAACACTTCATATTTAGCCCTAAAAGTCTGATCAATTCTACATATAGGTGCCGTAAAGTCATGGAAAATTCACTTTAGGTCATGAAAAAGTCATGGATTTTTTTATTTTTTTTATTTTGTCAGTGAAAAAAAGTGGGAACCCTGTATAGAAAACACAAAATCAATGTGTTTATAATGTATACAAATGTGATAACTTACATTTGCATCGCGTGGACTGTTTTTTGTAGAAAATATTTGTCTAGTTCTGTAAAAGTAATTTGTTTTACCTTCTACAGAATGGCAGTGTTGACACCACATGCAAATTAAGACTAAATTAGAACTAAATACAGAACAAACTAAATCCATATAATGACATTGTGAAATGAACACAGCTTAAAGGTCTTTTATTACGCAAAATGGCTTCTTGTGAGATTTAAGCCACGTTAAAATGCTGTTACCTCACCAAAAACATACTCGGAAGTGTGTTTTGTTTCATTCACACATATTTGAATAATCCTGAATTATTAGTCTGTCTACATCTCCAAAGATCAAAATGCTCTGTTCCACCTTGTGATGTCATGAAGCAGTAGTTTTCAAGCCTTTACCTTTTGTTTAGTAGAGCCTCGGCAATTCCAGGCCTGAAATGATCTAAGTGATTTTAGTGAAGCTGTGTGGAGTTTAAAAACACAGTGGAACAATTCCTTACCACATCACAAGGATACTGTAGATTAGGGATGTAACAATAATTGAAATATTGTGATATTGTATCGTCAAAAGTCTCACAATAATATCGTGGGCTGTCACAAGTTTTTTTACTTAAATGCATGGTTTTATAGTAGCAACAGCTTATAAACATGGAGAACTACATATCCCATGATTCATTTCAGCACAGAAAACATGAAGAAATCTGTTTTTTACTTGAATTCTCAAGATTATGACAGAAATAATTCACACCAAATTCTTGTCAAGGTATTTTAAAAGCAAAAAAGTGTCCTATCTACAATTATTATATCAGCCTCTCGCAATATATCGTACCGTGAGATGCATATCATGATAATATTCGTACCGAGCGATTTGGATATCGTTACATCCTCACTCCAAGATGCTGAATTCACTTTTTTTTTTATATTTCCGCAGCTGGACACGGGCAAAACATTCCAAGTTCTGATGAGGTTCGACACGGACGTTGAGTTGGCGTATTTCCATCACGGAGGAATCCTCAACTACATGATCCGCAAGATGTCCCAAAACTAACCAAGGAAAGAAAGACTCGTATCTGTGTCCATGATTCCAGCATTCCCTGTAGATCTACTGAAATTCTACTGTTAGACAAAGCTGCTACGCACATGTGAGAACTTTATTAGAGTACTCTGTCAGGTCAGAAAGCCATAGTATACTCCGCAAAAACTGCTAACTACACACGTTTCAAATGGATGAATTCGCTATTTTAATCTGTTCTTTACTTATTTACTTTATTTATTTAGTTTGTTTCAATTATTTTCTGTACGGTCGGCAAATACATTGAAACAAATCTCATGAAATCTACAAATTAAAGCTGCATTGTATAACTTTTCTTATGAGGATTCGCCACTTGCTTGTCCCAGAATGTTCCAGAATATGGCATTAAACATCCTGTATTTATCACCATGGAGACAAAAGAAACGGCACCAAGCCAAGTTCAGAATACATGTTTTCTGAGTTTTTTTTTCTCACCTATAATGAAATAGATGTTTAATGTCATAGTAGGAAACTGGAGGCTGACTCTCAATCCGAGTATCATTCGTTTTTCAAAATAAAACCAAAAATAAGAAAACGACAAAACAACTATTTTCTTCATTATTTGTCTCTAAAACCAAAATGAAAAAATGGATAATAATTCGTTTTCGTGTTTAAATGAATAATGGATAACGACCGTTTCCCATTTATGTTACTTAAACTGCGAGGCCAGACTGAACCAGGACTAAACCAGGACTGAAGCGTTTCCAGTCCTGGTCTGGTCTTGTCCTGGTCTCAGTCCTGGCGTCAGTCCCAGTCTGGTCAGGGTCCCGGTCCTGTTCTCAGTCCTGGTCGCAGTTCAGGTCTGGTCCCGGTTTCAGTCTCGGACTTGGTCTCAGTCCTGGTCCCGGACTCAGTCCTGTTCTGGTTCTGGTCTGGTCCCGGACATGGTTTAGTCCTGGGTCAGTCCGGCATTGCAGTTTATGTCATGTATATGGGAAACGGTCGTTATCTGTCTCTTTTTTTTTTTTTTTTTTTCATTTAAACATAAAATTTAAAACTGAAAAAATGAAACATTATCTGTTTTTTCATTTTGGTTTTGGAGTAATGAAGAAAAAAAATGTGTATCTTTTTTTGTTTTCTTATTTTTAGTTTTATATTGAAGAACAAATGAACAAATGACACACGGCTTACTCTCCACAAGAAAAGTTACATAGTGCATCTTTAAATAAATCATCTAACAATCTCTGAAACAAAGAGTATTCTGAATTCCAGCGTTTTAAATGTGTGTAGATGTTCAGTTTTTGCGGCGTATAAAACCAGGGACCGTTTGTGTTGATGCGTCTTTGGTTCAGACATGCACTATTTTGATTGACGGGCTTAGTCTGCCTATGCTATGCTAATATGAAGTGCAGTGATGCCCTTATGTTGTCACGGTAACCACATATTCCATGTCCATACTGTTTGTTCACGTAATCATGTCCGTCGTCCATCTTCACTCATCTCTTCACTGTTCATTGTGTCTTGTTGCCTTAATAAATGTGGAGTTGAACTGAACAAGGTGAAATAAACAAGTGATTTATCTTTGACTTGTGTGTTGGTTTGTTTTTGCATTTTAAACTTTAAAATGTTCAACTATTTCTTTTTTAAGCAATATTTCACTTCTAAAAGCATTTGAGGCAGAGAGAACTGAACTTTGTTGAGGTATTAATTTGGTAAAAGGTTCGATTTTCTGTCTGAAAAACCACCAAAAAACATCACTTTGCTGTGATGACCCAAACTATTAAAAAAATAGGACTAAACTGGACTAAAAACAGGATTTAATCAGGACTAACACAGGATTTAATCAGGACTAAAACCAGGACTAAAATCAGGACTAAAATGAGGATTTAACCAGAATTAAACAGGTTTAAAACAGGATTAAATTAAAACTGAACCAGGACTAAAACAGGATTGAACTAGGACTAAACCAGGTCTAAAACAAGACTGAACCAGGATCGAAACCAAAGCTAAACCAGGGCTGAACCAGGATTAAAATAGGACTAAACCAGGTCTAAAACATGAATAAACCAAGTCTAAAACAGGACTAAACCAAGTCTAAAACAGGACTAAACCAAGTCTAAAACAGGACTAAAACAGGACTAAACCAAGTCTAAAACAGGACAAAACCAGGTCTAAAACATGACTAAAAAGGACTAAACCAAGTCTAAAACAGGACAAAACCAGGTCTAAAACATGACTAAAACAGGACTAAACCAAGTCTAAAACAGGACAAAACCAGGTCTAAAACATGACTAAAACAGGACTAAACCAAGTCTAAAACAGGACAAAACCAGGTCTAAAACATGACTAAAACAGGACTAAACCAAGTCTAAAACAGGACAAAACCAAGTCTAAAACAAGACTAAACCAGGTCTAAAACAGGACTAAACCATTGATTCAAACTGAAAATTATTCATTTTTGGTGCAGTTGTTTGTCTCTTGAAGACTGATAAACAATATTATAATTAAATCAAGATTTTAATAACTAGGCAAATATTTATTTGCCAGCAAAGATGTAACCTGCTCCTGGATTAAGGTGCAACTAACTGTTTTTGTGGAGATGAATTTCAGCGAAGGTTTCTTAGCTTTATTGTCTGTACACACAACCAGACAACAACTCTTCAGCATGTCTAACATGAACAACAACGGTCACTAAGACAGAACATTTTGGCTCTGAGGGATCGTTTTCCCGGTAACAAACAACAACATGCTGTGTGTGACGTTGGTCCGGTTGTGCGTATAAGGAGAGGAGACAGACAGGAAGAGAGCAGGAGCCATGAGAGTTCTGAGGAAGACTCTTTGAAAGTTTAACCACATGTAATGGGTCCTGTACGTCATGTGAATCTGTGTATCATTTGTTCATTTGTTTATCAAAATAAAACCAAAAATAAGAAAATGAAAAAACAACTATTGTCTTCTTTACGCTTCTACTGCACCGTTACCTGGACGGAGGACGACTATGGAGAACTTTACACAAATGACGCCACAATGTACACCACATCTGTGAACTGTGCTTTTACCAGAACTGACAAGTTGGAGCATTTTTGGTGGAGTTTTGGTTCATATTATCAGTTTGGCTGCATCTTTATGCAAACACACACTCTGCCCTGGATATTACCACACGCTTTTACCAGGACAAGGAGTTTGGTTCATGTTATGTGTTTTGCTTCAGTTTTATGCAGACACTACAGACTGAATAGATGTAGACTTATTATTACGCACATGAGAGGGGATCCAGACTGCGCACAAAAACACATCGTCTGTGCCTCTGTGCCTCTGTGCCTGCGCTCCATTCATTATGCTCATGAGGTAGTTGGATTTTTTTGTTGGAGGTAGTTAGATTTTTGCTGAATGGTCTTTGTGTTACGCCCAGAGAAGGGGCTGCACTGAGCAGGTAAACAGAACATGCAGACAGTTTAGTAAATAGACAGTAGAGTAAAGAGAGAGGTAAAATACAGAAAAGCTGCTGAAAATTGACCAAAACACAAAGAAAATGTGACATATGGACTCGCATAAGTGCTGAGTGCAGAACCAATGTCCCAGCAAACATTTTTACAGTGATTTCTAAATAAACACAAATGATTTCCTTTGGCATAATCACACATTTTATTATATATTTCATTACCACACATCAGACTTGTCCCACCACAACATGTTATACCAGTGTACCACCAGGAATCGCAAAAGAGGGAAACTTGTAATCAAACTAGAGACGGATTCAAAAAACACCAAATAGTCATCATCATTTCTACTCTTAACCCAGTTTTGTCCTAACCAGAACTTTGTGTATCTACAATATGAAAACTAAACACCAATACACCCATGACAGAAGTTGTGATAATTTAAAAGGAAAAAAAGAAAAACAAAGTGATTTATGGTCCCGTGTAAAACAATAGTTGGAACTGTACAATTGGTTTAAAGCGCCCATATTACGCTTTTTCTGTGTTATAATGTTGTTTCCTCATCAAAAACAAACCTGGAGTTGTGTTTTGTTTCATTCACACTTGTTTAAACACACTGTCATGTCATTTAGGAAGTGCTCCACTGTGTTTTTAAACTCCGTACACCTTCACTAGAATCATTTGGATCATTTCAGACCTGGAATTGACAAACTCCACTGAACTAAAGATAAAAAAGTCGCTGTTAACCTGAATTACTCAAACATGTGTGAATGAAACAAAACACAACTCCAGATATTTAATTTTTGCGTAATATAGGACCTTTAAATTCAAAAATGAAAACTATATATTGTCAAAGTGGAGGGACAAGTTACTGCATCAATATCACAATATAAAAATCCAAAGAAATACAAGAGCTGAATACACGTGATGAAAACCTGCCTTTAAAACGGCTTTGTGTAAGTTACATTCACAACTGATGGTCAATTGAAACGTGTTAAAATTGGTAGTAAACATACCGAGATACAAGTTAAAATCATAAGCAGGAACTAAACGGCAACTGTAAAAAAATCTATGTATTGTTCGTTCATTCGGTTTTCAAAATAAAATCAAAAATAAGAAAATGAAAAAAACGATCATTTTCTTCATTATTTGTCTCCAAAACAAAAAACAAACAAAAAAAGGACAAAGATTCATTTTTTCAGTTTTCGATTTTGTGTTTAAATGAATACGAAACCTTTCCTGCAATGCCGGACTGAGCCAGGCCAAAACCAGGACTAAACCAGGACTAAACTACGTCTAAAACCAGGACTAAATCTGGGACAAAACCAGGCCTAAACCGGGGCTAAACCGGGTTTAAAACAGGACTAAAACAGGACTAAAACAGAACTAAAGCAGGTTTAAACCGATCTCCGTCCTGTTCTCAGTCCTGGTTTGGTCCTGGTCTCAGTTCAAATCACACAACTCTGGGCCCGTCCCCACACTCCTGATTCAGTCCTGGTTTAGGACCTAGACCAGGACCAGACCAGGACAGAGACCAGTTTAGACCTGGTACAGTCCATATGCGGTGCAAAAGTCCGGCATTGCAGTTTAAGTCATGGAAACAGGAAACAGACGTTTTTTTTTCCATTCTTCATTTAAACACAAAATTGAAAACTGAAAAAAAAAAAAAAAATCTTTATCTATTTTTCCATTTTGGTTTTGGAGACAAATAACTAGAAGAAAATAGTTGTTTTGTCGTTTTCTTATTTTTGGTTTTATTTTTGAAAAATGAATGAACGAATGATACAGGATTTTAAAAGATTCAGTATATTTTTCCCTTACAATAGTTAGTGTGCAATATTAAAACTGTCACTAAATGATGGCTCGGTGAACTGTGAGTGTGAACGCAGCACACTCCAAAAAAAACAACAAAACATAACAAAAAACAAAAAAAAGTTATAACATTTACAAGAATTTCCGTCCAGCAGCGACGCTATGTAAACAACACACTGAGAGGGCGGAGCTCTAGCTACAGACTGGGCAAGGATTGGTCGAGAGGGTTTGATGGACATGTAGAAGGAGGCGGGGTCTGGTGAGGAGTCGATCACTCGGGGATCGGGGAGTTCTCAGCTGAAACGAGAAGAAAACAGAGTCAGGATTAGATTTTTTATTTGTATTTTTAAACGTTACTTTTCTACCCATAAAAAGCAAAAATCAGAAGAAAAACTTTTAAAACTGTGCTTTATTTTTTCCTATAGTTTTTACATTAAAACCAGTGGGTGTGGTGTAGTGGGGATTTTTAAATGGGGGCACGAGATTTGTGGAAAGAACCAGGACTAAACCAATACTAGACCAGGACTAGACCAGGACTAGACCAGGACTAGACCCAGGACTAGACCCAGGACTAGACCCAGGACTAGACCCAGGACTAGACCCAGGACTAGACCGGGACTGAACCAGGACTTAACAGGTCTAAACCAGGACTAAACCAGGACTACAACAGGACAAAACCAGGTCTAAACCAGGTCTAAACCAGGGCTACACAAGGACTACACAAGGACTAAACCAGGTCTAAACCAGGACTACAACAGGACAAAACCAGGTCTAAACCAGGTCTAAACCAGGTCTAAACCAGGTCTAAACCAGGGCTACACAAGGACTACACAAGGACTAAACCAGGTCTAAACCAGGACTACAAAAGGACTAAACCAGGACTACAACAGGACTAAACCAGAACTAAACCTGGTCTAAACCTGGTCTAAACCAGGTCTAAACCATGTCTAAACCAGGACTAAACCAGGGCTACACAAGGACTAAACCAGGACTACAAAAGGACTAAACCAGGACTAAACCAGGACTACAAAAGGACTAAACCAGGACTAAACCAGGACTACAAAAGGACTAAACCAGGACTAAACCAGGGCTACACAAGGACTAAACCACGTCTAAACCAGGACTATAAAAGGACTAAACCAGGACTATAAAAGGACTAAACCAGGACTGAACCAGGGCTACACAAGAACTAAACCATGTCTAAACCAGGACTATAAAAGGACTAAACCAGGACTAAACCAGGGCTACACAAGGACTAAACCACGTCTAAACCAGGACTAAACCAGGGCTACACAAGGACTAAACCAGGTCTAAACCAGGACTATAAAAGGACTAAACCAGGACTAAGCCAGGGCTACACAAGGACTAAACCAGGTCTAAACCAGGTCTATAAAAGGACTAAACCACGTCTAAACCAGGACTACACAAGGACTAAACCAGGTCTAAACCAAAGTAGCAAACACCATCCATCAAAATTATGTCAAACCGCGTCAAATATTTAGTTTATCTAGTTTGCTCATCAATACTTACTCACTGAGTTTAACAAACATCAACATATGACCCTGTTTTACTTCCTGTCACTGGCTCCTGCATGTTTTAGAATAGATCTTAAGATTTTACTGCTCACTTTTAAAGCTCGTTTAGGACCAAGTTACATTTCAGAACTTTTAACCTCGCAGTCTTAGATCCTCAGACAGGTCCCAGTGTCTGTTCCAAAGTCCAGACTCCGAATGAAAGCGATGAAACCTTTTCAGTCCGGGTGCCTCGACTTTGGAACGACCGGCAGTATCATCTTTTAAATCACTTCTTAAGACTCATTTTTATCGGTTAGCCTTCCTTTAACTTGATTTTATTCCTTATTTATTTTAGTTTATTTATTACCATTTATTGGATTGTTTGCATCATTATTTGTATTTGTTTGCCTTCTGTTTGCTATTTTTATGCTTTTTGTATTGTTTTTTTGTTGCTTGTACAGCACTTTGCAAACCTTGTTTTTAAAAGTGCTTAATGAATAAATGAATTATTTATTATTATTACAGTATATTCTCAAGTGCTGGTGTAGTTGTGCGATTCTACCACTAGATGACCCCACAACTTTTAAAATAAAGTATTAACACTCTAATCCGGGTAAAACAATATTTTTTTCCATGTAAGCAAGCAGCTGGTACACACAGCTCTGCGTATGAATTACTTTGTGTATGAATTGTGCTATACAAATAAACTTTTATGATGATTATTTATGTTTTGATTTGTTTATATTGTCTGTAAAGCACCTTGAATTACTTTTGTGAACAACTTGTGCTTCATAAATAAACTTGCCTTGCCTATTCTTGTTATTATCACTTCGAATTCTATCTAAACAAATAAAACCGTCTCTGGAAATGTTACAAAACCCACCTTGAACTGGAAAATAGAAAATACACTCTATAAACACCCTTGAATTTAATTTTTGAAGCGTTATTTGAACTCAGTCCTACCCTGGCGGTGGTCCTCACTTGATGGGCACGGTGGGCGACCCGGAGCGGTGGAAGTGGATGTTTTGCCACTTGCTGTCCCTGCGGTGCCAGATGCGGGTCTCCTCAGACTGCATGGTCCGGGGCAGGCCGCTCGAGTCCATGTACTGAGTCAGACGGATGTAGGCGATGCACGCGGCCTCGTCCCCGATCAGGTGCACGTGAGGGTTCAGCAGGATGGTGTGGATGGGCTGCTTGTGTTTGGACAGAGCTGTGGGGATAAGATAGATTTTTAATAGTGCTATAATGTTTAAAAGTCCTATATTAAGGAGCTTTAAGTCATGTTATTATGTCATTTCCTCCTCAAAAACAGACCCAGAGTTGTGTTTTGTTTCATTCACACGTTTGCCATATCCTGCATTATTAGTCAGTCTACATCTCCAGAGATTAAAATGCTCTGCTGTAAAGTGTCATGATGTCATGAAGTGGTAGTTTTCAAGTTAAAAGCTACCGTATTTTTCGAGCTATTAGGTGCTCTGGATTATAAGGCGCACTGTCATTAAATGGTCTATTTTCGAACTTTTTTCACAAATAAACCGCACCGGACTTTAAACGAAACACAGCAGTTGGATGGGTGAGTGGGACTTTGTTTGTTTGTGGTGTTCACGGTGACTCTGGGCTTTGTTCAGTTGTGGCGTGTAGGGAGGGTGCTGTCTGGGACCGCTGGATTGTCGCCGTGTTCGCAGTGACTCAGTTGTTCAGTTGTGTCTAGAAGCGGCACATTGGACTCGCTTTTTCGGTTCGTTCCTCCGTTCCGTTCCTCGTCGGCGTGGAGTGATGAGTGTGTCTGTGGGTGTTTTTCGCTGTGCGGTCGCTGTCTGCTCCGTGTGTGTTTGCGTGCGATGCGGGTGGTGCGGCTTTGTAGTTTACCGTTTGTAGTTTATCGTTTTTTGATGGGGTTAGAGGCTTAAGAGTGCGTCTAATAGCCCGGAAAATACGGTACCTTTGAAATGGTAAGTTTTTTATTTCATTCATTCATAGAGATAAATCCCACACACCGTCTTACTTGCAAATTGTGAGATTTATTTTATCCAAATGATTGTAATGAAGGTGGAGTGGAGCACTTCCTGTATTACCAGAGGTGAGACCAAGTCGTTGTTTTGGAAGTCTCAAGTCTTTGACCTCAAGTTCGAGTCAAGTCCCAAGTCAAATACAGGCAAGTCCAAGTCGAGTCTCAAGTCACTGACCCATAAGTCCAAGTCAAGTCCAAATTGTCTGCTTTGAGCTTCAAGTCATTTCAAGTCTTTAAGTCAAAGTACCAAATATAGCTTAGATTTCTGCAGTTTATAAGAATTTTAAACTAAACTGTACTAAAGAGTATTTAGAAAAAAGTTGTAGAAATGCTATTTTTTCTTTTTTAATTGTCTTGACAAGATCTTAGTGCCAAACATTACAGTCAGAATAGAAAGACTTCTCAAGTCACAGGCCTCAAGTCCAAGTCAAGTCCAAATTTATTGTGCTTCAAGTTCAAATTCAAATCCAAAGTCAAGTCTAAAAAATAGTAACTCAAGTCTAACTCAAGACTTGCAGGTCCCCACCTCTGTGTATTACCACATGACATCACAAGGTGGAACAATGTTTTTTCCTTTTGAGTGAAGAACTTGTGTGTTAAACGTGTGAACGAAACAAAACACAACTCCAGGTTTTTGTTTTGATGAAGAAACAACATTACAACATCAGAAAATAGTGCAATAAGGTCCCTCTAAAACGGGACTAAACGCACAAACTTATTCTGATTCTTGTGTTAGTTTGTTAGTTCATATTTCCCATTTCTTTTTGTCAATTCTTCTGGATGTGTTTAAAATGTGAACTTTGAACAACATCCTTTTATTAAAACATAAACCGTAAATCTAATCACAAAGCTTTTAAAAAAAAACAAACACCTTAGTTGGCCTCATCTTTGCAGAGATCTATTAGAATCTTTCAGTCTTTCAGTTCTTGTTCAGTTATTATATTCTCAAACTAAAATGGTAATTGAGGTACTCCATTTTTCTCTGGTAATTTTCTATCAAATGTAAAAGCTCTTTCTTACTTCAGTTCTAAAATCAAAGGTGTCTTGTGGATCTATAGGCTCTCATTGTGCCGTGCATTATGAGAATGGGACTGCAGCCATCATCATTTGCAGAGGTTTGTAGCGGCCCTTTTATATGCTAATGTAATTTTCACTTTTCTTTTATGACAGGACAGCTCTGCCCCCTCATGTTCCAAAAGTAGTTTCATAATTGTGTTTTTTTTTTTTACCATTTTCAAAGTAAAAGCGGTGGAAGTCCGTGCCCTCCACCAGGTTCCCCAGAGCCTCGGGTTCAAATGACGTCAGGCCGGGGTCACAGATCTTCCTGTAGCACAAACAATGGATACAAACATTAGATAAGAACCTTTTTTTTTTTTTTTTTTTTGCTCCTGCCTTACACTAGCCTTTCACTTCGTGGAAACCGTCTGACCTCGCAGCAATAGGATTCGGTTTTATTTAACCAATCGCTGCTATTTGGTCGTGACATATGTAATGTGCCAAATCCCGTAGGAAGAAGAGCAATAACGTCTTTTCCCTTGATAAAATCCAAACATTCTCTTTGTTCCCGCTTTAAATCCTCGATCTCAGGAATCGTTGCCATGTTGTTGTTGTACTTGGTTGTATGTTTTCGTCTACATCCATCTCGTTCGCTTTGTTTACTGTTGTGCTGTTCCACTAAAGGGACCCAGACAGGGGCTTGAGTTTGACGTCATGGCTTCACAGCTCTTCGCTGATTGATCAGTGTCTACAACTTCCGGGGTTCTTGCAAACCGTCTAGTGTATTCTGATTCCTGACCTAGTCGCTGAAGAGAAATGAAATTAAGCTTTAGGCACTAGGTGGCGCCAGCCTGGCTAGCCTTACACTAACACTGACATTAATTTTAATTTTAATTTGATATTTTATACAGAAAATTAAACCAGGACTTTCCCAACAAGAAGGAAATCCCCTGAAAAAACTTGAAAGATTAAAAAAACAAAAAAGCAAACCAAACTTAAAGGTTGCTATAACATGTGCTTCTACTGGTTTAACAAAGATACTAAAATCACAACTTGATCTGTGATGCCATGAACTGTCACACTTTGGATACACTATGCGTGGGTTTCATAATTATAAAAAAAATAAAAAGATTGTTACCATTGCAATTATCAGTTTCAAACAAAACATCCTTTCTTTTGAATGTGAAAAAGTCCTTAGTTTATCGGAAAACTTGGTGAATAAATTACCTTTGTCATCAGTAAAGTCAATATATTAATTGTACACGTTTACACCAGGACTACATCAGGTCTAAATCAGGTCTAAACCAGGACTGAACCAGGTCTAAACCAGGTCTAAACCAGGACTGAACCAGATCTAAACCAGGTCTAAACCAGGTCTAAACCAGGACTGAACCAGGACTGAACCAGGACTGAACCAGGTCTAAACCAGGACTGAACCAGGTCTAAACCAGAACTGAACCAGGACTAAACCAGGACTACACCAGGACTACACCAGGACTACACCAGGACTGAACCAGGACTGAACCAGGTCTAAACCAGAACTGAACCAGGACTAAACCAGGACTACACCAGGACTACACCAGGACTGAACCAGGACTGAACCAGGACTGAACCAGGACTGAACCAGGTCTAAACCAGGTCTAAACCAGGTCTAAACCAGGACTGAACCAGGACTGAACCAGGACTGAACCAGGACTACACCAGGACTACACCAGGACTGAACCAGGACTGAACCAGGTCTAAACCAGGACTGAACCAGGTCTAAACCAGAACTGAACTAGGACTAAACCAGGACTGAACCAGGACTGAACCAGGACTGAACCAGGACTGAACCAGGACTGAACCAGGACTACACCAGGACTACACCAGGACTGAACCAGGACTGAACCAGGTCTAAACCAGGACTGAACCAGGTCTAAACCAGAACTGAACTAGGACTAAACCAGGACTGAACCAGGACTGAACCAGATCGGGCGACGGCTGCGCTTAGACTTGTGGGCGTGGAGTAAAATTTGTTATATTTGTTATTTTTTTAATATCTCACGTCGAGAAGTGGGTGGACGACGTACCCCCGCGTACCACGCCCACTACACCCCTGTTCATCGAGACCAATCCAGACCAAGTTACAGGTCAGATCTGTGGAGAGGCGACCCCACACAGTCAGAATGTCTGTTTTTCTAAGTATTGTTGAGCTTTAAAACCACCTGTAATTAGCGTTGTTTTAACGTAACATACAAACAATTCAGTGTCAATTCAAACTCACGTGTAGGCCTCAAAATCTCCACTGTTGATTGCCTCGATGAGCTGCTCCGTCACTTTGATAATCTCTTGCTTGCGGGCTGAAAACAACGCAGAAAACGATCAGAATTCACCATTCACCAAAACGACGTCCATTTGCACAGATAAGGAAACATGCATTCACAAAACACACACTTGGACCAAATCGGGGGAGAGGAGAATTAGCAAGGACTGGACAAGACAACATCTAAATTACCTTTCATGCTAAGAAGGTAAGCTAGAAGACAGCAGACAACAAGAGGTCACATGGACAGAAGACAAATCCCATACAGTCTAGTCATGCGTTACCTTCCACCGCCTGCATAGTCTCATTCTCGGGGCATTTTTTCATCTGACTACTAACTTTAAAGTGACCGTGTGACCGTGTGACCGCGGTCATGGAAAGCATCATGACCAGACACCACACAGGAGACATGCTGAGGTAGGTGTGGTTGAACTATTGAACGTAGCGAGGTTTTAAAGCGGGCTATGAAGTCCGAAGTGATCCCAGAATCTGATTGGTTTGCGGTGAAGGCGTTCGGTTCACAGTGGACCGGCTGTGTGTGTAGTGAAGCTGCTTTAGACCGGTTAGGACGGGGGTCGATAGACTTTGAGACAGTGGGCAGAGAGCAGAGGACACACAATTCTCATATTTGTACTGTTTGGTATATTGGTTATCGGCTTTAAATCTCATTGATATTTTGTTTGGCCAACCAGATGCCTAAAGAATATGCACAACTCTTTACTTGGAGATGAAGAGACACTGCACAAAACATGACTACACAGCTCTCGTATCCACTTTGTAGTAAAACAGGTTTGTGTATGAATTTGTAGTCATTTCAAATCGTATAATTTTAGTCGAGAACCGCATTTTTCAGACTATAAGTCACACTTTTTTTTCATGTTTTGGGTGGTCCTGTGACTTATACTCCGGTGCGATTTATGTATTAAAATTTTCACACTGACAACCGACTGACTGACTGCTCGCTCTAGTCTTGTGTGTCAGTATCTGCGCATGTCTCCTGCAGAAAGAGCTGCTGTCCTGTCTGTATAATGTCAGTCGATCGCACCATTACTTCTGTACCACTGAAAATTTAACATTTAAGTGACATCAGTGACAACCAAAACCATCCTGTCAGGATTCAGAAAGGCCGGAATAATTCTAATTGGAACTGATGCTGACGAGAGCGACACAGAAGAGGAAGCGTCGCTCCGTTTACCTCTGGAAGTCACAGAGTTGCTCAAAAGTGACACTGAGGATGAAGAATTCAATGGATTTAGTGATTTGGAGTGAGATGGAGAGTTTGGTAAACTTGTTCTGTTCTGTTGTTTATGTTATATTTATCTGAAGAACTGTTCATATGTGACATTAACAGTCTGTTGTTCTCTGTTCTATTGTTATTACTAGAACTTGCCTTTCATGGTGAAATGTTGGTTCCTGGTTTCTGATTTTATATACATTTATATTAATATATAAATTTCCCCCAAAAAGTGCAATTTATAGTCCGGTGTGACTTATTTGGCTGGTGTGACTTATACTCCAGAGTGATTTATAGACCAAAAAATACAGTAATCAAAATCGCCCTTTCATATCGGCCCAAAATTATCCGCAAAGTGTATTGGCTATCGGTTTCTCTGGATTCAAAACAATCAGTATCAGCATCAGCCATGAAAAAAAACCCATATAGGAATATCAGATTTTTTTCTAAGCTTTGTCAGAACTGAAAACGTGCTTAATTTTGACAAAATTCCCACTTTTATATTTACATGGTCGTGAACCATGTGTAGGCTGCTGAGGTTAACTGAGACTATACTATTATTAGGTCAACTGGATTTTGTTCTTTAAAACATCCAGTTCACATAATAATATAATTTTGAGTAATATCATACCTGGATTATTACAAAATTAAGTTTAAGCATGTGTTTTAGAGCAGAGGTCAGACTTGTAAATGTAACTACTTTTTGTTAAATTGCATTAAAGACAATCTTATTCTTCCTACAAAAATAAAATTGAAAAAAAAAAAAAAAGGAAATGTGGGAGAAAATATGTGATTTTGCCCAGCTTTAATGAACAGTATGACTTTGATTTTGATGGAAAACCAATCAGCAAAAGCATCACAGCTCAGTCCAAACACAACACAGACAAAGCATGAACGCAGCAGCTCCTCCTCCGCCTCTTCCTCTTGAAAGTAGAAACTTTAAGAGCTGAAAGAGGGTGTAAATTTCTTAAAAACAAAGTCTGCTGTAAAGTTTTATGATCTCTGAGAGCGTAATCAAATGTCTGCGAGTCTACAGAGCTGTTCTAAATATAAACAGTATAATAAAGTTAATGTTTTAAGTTTTTAAATTGATAATTGTTGATCTAATTGATTGATTGATATATATTTGACCTAGTTACAATATGCAGTGTTTAATCAAATGTCAACATATCCACTTGTCACAGGATGAAATGTAGTGACAGTTTATGACCAGTAGGTGGCGGTGCAAGACTAATTTATAACACTACTAGTTTTAAGGAACGCTATTTTTCTACTAATTTTCACCAAATCTTCACCAAATCTACTGGGAAATAAACTAAAGTTACAACCAAATCTAATGCAACCCAATCAGATGCAACTATAAACAGAATTATTCATAAAATCAGGCGAGTTTAGAACCAATTTCCATGTTTGATTTTGATATTTTTTGCTTTGGGAAATACAAAAGTTCAATTTGTGTATTGTGAATAGTAATTAGTGAAAATATCGTGGAGAATTTGGTTTAAATAAGGATTTTGGTGATGGGGTTGCAGCTGCAGGGGCTACTTCTTGTTAAACTATTCTACAAATCTTACACTTACACTGAAAATCCACGGGGCCCAATCTCGGCAGGGGCCCCGTATCGTCTGCGCGCTCGCTTTGGGAATCACACCGGCATTTGTGGGCGTGGTCCGGACTGAACAGCAGAAAAACGGTCGCACAAAACAGAACTACGTACGCTGCAACTAAAGCCCAGAGAATCCCCAGGGTGCACTGCTCTGAGCCGAGCCACACCGGGGACCAGAGACTAAAACTAAAACTGTACCACGGGAAAACTGACAATGAAGAGGAGGAGGAGAAGGAGGAGGACGAGGAGGAGGAGTGGGGGAGGAGGCGTGGGCTTTGAGGGTCCAGGTTTTTGAGGTAGAAGATGTGAGGGCTGGAGGGACGACGAGAACATTTGGCAGCTACTGTTTGTAACAATGAAAAGATGGAGGAGAAAGAAAGAAGGGAAAAAAAAAATGAAATGGTGACGGAAAACAAACGATGATGACCTGAGGCGTGAGAAAATTATGTCGTTAAAATACTGTCAGCGTGCGGCACCTGAGGCGACTGTACAGTATAAGACATGTATTTCAAACTGTTACAAAATGAGAGTTATGTAAAGTATTATTTTATGGTTGTTTAAGTGTCCAGGTTAGAAGAATTTGTGTGAAAAGAGATGTAAAATTACACTTTTAAATTGAACTTTTAGTAGGTAAACTTGCTGGTTATTACCTTGAAAAAACAAAATACAGTTTGGTAAATAGTTTCTTTTCTGTTAATCTAGTTTGAGTGGACTGTATACCAAAAAATTGAGGTGAAGTACAATACTTAAGTACAAATTTTAGGTATCTGTACTTCACTTAAGTACATTTTACACTGGATACTTTTTACTTTTTCTTCACTACATCTGAGAACGTGTATCTGTACTTTCTACTCCACTATGTTCTAGAGCTAGACTGAAAAGTAAAAGAAAAGTAAAAAGTACAAACATGCTGAAAATGAGGAGACTTTTTTTTAGCACATTTGAGTTTCTGTCTGAACTTTGAGTAAACCAAAAACACAAAAACTGCCACAAAATTTTAGAAATCAATTGAATCTCTTAAAATCAGCTTAACTGTTTATCAAAATCACGACATTTAATCGTTTAATTGTTCTAAAAATCTCTGCAAATAGTTTTACTTTTTACTCTTAAAGTACACTTTTAAATTGAACTTTTCGTAGGTAAACTTGCTGGTTATTACCATAAAAAAACAAAATACAGTTTGGTAAATAGTTTCTTTTCTGTAGTATAGTTTGAGTGGACAGTACAGCAACAAATGAAGGTAAAGTACAAATTTTAGGTATCTGTACTTCACTTAAGTAAATTTTACAGTGGATATTTTTAACTTTTACTTCATTACATTTGAGAACGTGTATCTGTACTTTCTACTCCACTATGTTTTAGAGTTACACTGAAAAGTATAAAGTACTTTTATTGCTGGAGATCTGCTGAAATGGCACACATTTAATTTGAGTTTCTATCCCAATTTTAAGTAAACAAAAAACACAAAAATGGCCACAAATATTTAAAAATCATTTGAATCTCTTAAAAAGTGCTTATTTTTTTCTCAAAATCGCTACATCTCAACTTTCAATTGTTCTAAAAATCTCTGCAAAATACTTTTACTTTTTGCTCTTAAAAATTTCAGCAAATACTTTTTACTCTTTAAGTACATTTTTAAACAGGTACTTTACTACTTTTACTTAAGTAGATTTTTTTCATGTGATACTTTTACTTTTACAACATAAATAGTCTTAAAATCTGTTTTGCTGTTTATTAAAGCTGCACTACGAAACTTTTGTAGTGGAGAGTCCGCCCCCTGTTTCCATGGAGATGTTATTGTTTGCCTGAAATGTTCCACAATTTGGTATTAAACTTGCAGATTAGGCCAAGTTATAGGTCAGATCTGCGGAGAGGCAACCCTGCTCACGGAAGAATGTTTTTTGAGGCATTTTTGAGCAATAAAACATCTGTAATAATAAAGCAAGACAACTTTAATGCCATACTGCAGAACTTTTTAGACAATATAGTAACATATCCAGTAAGATAATTAGATCCCTCACCAGAAAAGCTGTGTAATTTTCACCTTATTTACTTGCTTCTCCATAGATCTGACTTAACATACCTCCATTGTGGTTGGTAAAAGTGAATATTTACAACTAAAATCTATTGGTTTATTATCATGGAAGTTTAACTCGGAATTTGTTGTGATGTGACGACAGAATCCCGAGGACTATGGAGGTCGGAAGGCAATGATTAAACGTAAAAAAAATGAAAATGAACTGTAAACAAAAAACACATAAACTTTAAAGGTGCATTGTGTAACTTTTCTGATCTTTGGTGGAGTGTCTGTCGAACGCTTTTCTCCATGGAGATGTTATTGTTTTGCCTCAAAATGTTTCACAGTATGACATTAAACCTTTCTATCTTCATGGAGACCAAACCAGACCAAAATACAGGTCAGATCTGTGGAAAGGCGACCCCGCTCACAGTCAGAATGAGTGTTTTTCTAGGTATTTTTGAGCTATAAAACCATCTGTATTTGAATAAATCTAAAGTAGAGCTGTTTAATGTCACACTATGAAAAGTAGAGCAATGACATCTCCATAGAAACAAGCAGCTGATGGACCCTCCACCAAAAAAGTTACACGAATGCACCTTTAATTAAAGTAAAGTAAAGTATAAAACGCTGTAATATCCGTAGGTGATTTCAGGTCCAGTGGAAGATAAGGCCTTTTATCAGAGAAAAAAAAAAATTGTGACATGCAAGAACCAAGCAAAGTCAATCCAAAAACATGCTGGAAAATCAAATGAACAAAGTGTTTCTCAAGCAAAGTTTTGAACAGAAAAATGAAGCGAATGTAGAAAGTAGAAAGTAGAAAAGACATTGTGCAGATGTGGTGCATACCTCGAACATCTTCATCCTCTATAGTGGTGTTGGCGCTCTCACTGGAACCCTAGAGAAGACGACAGCTTTGAGATCAACAAACTAGTAGATTTTTTATTTAACTAAACCAAACCTAACAAAAAATTAGATAGTCTTGGTCAACTTGGTTACATATGGTGCGCATCCCAGAGGCAACCCACCCAGACAGGAGAGGAGCATGAATGAAAATGCTAAAAATCTGTTCCACGTCATCTAGGAACCAAACCCAGAACTTAGCCTCTATGTAACTTAAAGGGACAGTCCAGAGTTTTGAACATAGGACTTAATTTCCTAGTGAGCCAGAGAGTTGGAGACGTGTGGAGACACTTTTTAAAATATTCCATCCAGTCCTTGTATTTGCAGAGGTCACTGGTGCTAGGCTAGTGCATGTCAATGGCCATAGTTATCCTGTCACTAAAAACAGTCTTACCCACTCCACAAAACACCCGAAACAAATCTATTATTACGCCAGACTGTCGATGTAAATGTCTGTGTCGATAGAATAATTTTAGAAGTAAAACTAATCTTGTATTTGAAGGATTTATGCCTGAGCAGCAGCAGTGACTTGTACTTCCTGATAGAAAGTTTGGCAGTGGCGGACTGATATATGAAAAAATAGTCCCTCAACATGCGACGATTCATGCGATGCAAGGTTAGTTTTATTTCAAACATTATTCTATCAACACAGACATTTACATCAACAGTCTGGCTTAATAAAAATTTTGCTTTGGGTGTTTTGTGGAGTGGGTAAGACTGTTTTTATTGGCAGGATAACTATGGCCATTGACATGCACTAGGCCAACACCAGCGACCTCTGCAAATACAAGGACTGGATGTATGAATATTTAAAAAAGTGTCTCCCCACGTCTCCAACACTCTGGCTCACTAGGAAATGAGGCCCTATGTCCAAAATTACAAACTGTTTCCAGTTGATAGGATAAATTTTCTTTATTTTTACAGAATTTTCAACAATTAAGCAGGAAGCAACAGGGACAGCTAGTTTTATCCAATCAGAAGTGATGCTGGATGAGAACCATGTACAAACAACTGCCAAAAACTACCCCGAACAGTTGTTTCTCTGCCATGGTTCAACGTCAGAGTGAGAAAAGGGATTACATACACTCTCATTCCCTCATTAGAAACATTTGGATCATTTCAGCACTGGAGTTGCCAATCTCCAAGGCAAAATGGTAGCTCTTAACTTAAAAACTACCACTTCATGACATCACAAGGTGGAACAGAGCATTTTGAGCTTTGGAGATGGAGTCAGACTAATAACAAAGGATTACTCAAACAAGCGTGAATGACACAAACTCGACTCAAGGCTTGTTTTAGAGCAGGCAGCAACATTCAGATATGACTTCAAGCTTAAAGAGTCCATTTTAATCAGTGTATCATTTATCATTTGTTTTTCAAAACAAAACCAAAAATAAAAAAATGAAAAAACTAATTTTCTTCATTATTTCTCTCCAAAACCAAAATGAAAAAAAAAAGAAGAAGAAAAAAACAAAAAACAGATAATGATTTGTTTTAGACTGTCAGGTGGTCAGGACTGAGACCAGGATTAGACCGGGACCAGACTGGGACTGAGACTGGGAGCAAACCAGAACTGAGACCAGGATTGAGACCAGGACTGTGGCCTGTTTAGACCTAGTTTAGTCATCGTTCAGTCCTGGTTCAGACCTGGCTCAGTTCTGGTTCAGTCCTGTTTTGGTCCTGTTTTAGACCTGGTTTAGACCTGGTTTAGATCTGGTTTAGACCTGGTTTAGTCATGGTTCAGTCCTATTTTAGTCCTAGAATCAGTTCTGGCTCAGTCCTGGTTCAGTCCTGGTTTAGACCTGGTTTAGACCTGGTTTAGACCTGGTTTAGACCTGGTTTAGACCTGGTTTAGACCTGGTTTAGTCATGGTTCAGTCCTAGTTTAGTCCTGGTTTAGTCCTGGTTTAGTCCTGGTTTAGTCCTGGTTTACTCCTGGTTCAGTCCTGTTTTAGTCCTAGGATCAGTCCTGGCTCAGTCCTGGTCCAGTCCTGTTTTAGTCCTGTTTTAGTCCTGTTTTAGTCCTGGTTCAGTCCTGGTTCAGTCCTGGCTGAGTCCTGGCTCAGTCCTGGTTCATTTTGATTTTGGAGACAAATAATGAAGAAAATTGCTGTTTTTTTGCATTTTCTTATTTTTGATTTTATTTTGAAAAACAAATGAACGATACACAGATTCATTCTGTGTAGGACTGAACCTTTAATCCTATGAACCCCTTACAATTTTTAAACAAATTTTTCCAAACAACATGACTTTGCTACGAGGCACGGACGAACAATACCACTACACTTACCCCATCTACACAACACAACACGAGGGCTTTGTCATGTCGCCGCACAAAGCCACACACACACACACACACACGAGCATGCACAGGCCCATGGGGGGTTTATTCACGTATGATATTATATTTTATTATGTAATGCAGGAGCGCACTTTCACACACACACATCAGTGACTCCAGGCTGCTGTCCCATTTCACATGAACAGCTCCCAACAACATGCCAACACAATATCGCTTTACACAACAACACTTCAAGCCTCATGTTCGGTTTATTCGTCAAACATGGACTTGGTATGGAATAAAATTATACAAACAGTTATGTAAGGCACGATCAGAGGTGGGTAGGAATCAGCTAAATAAAATCTGTCATGTGGTTTTTGAGGAAAGTTTACTCACAATAGTAGTTTGCGAACAGCGTATTTTACTTCTACTTGTGCGATGATGGGTTTATATATATATTTTTTTGGAAGTTTTTTAGTTAATCCTCTAGCTGTAAGTAAATCTATAAATGCCATTGTATCTAGGCTGCACATCACATCAAATATAGACCTAAACCAGGACTGAAACAGGACCAAACCAGTCTACATCTGGACTAAACTAAACCAGGATATGTGAACGCAACCTTAGTTTAGATAATTTTTGTGCATATGTGAAAATATCAGAATCAATTATTATTTAATGTTTTACTTTTATGTATGATTGAATAAATTCTAAATAGTAAATCGGATGTTAGATGCTTAAACATGTTCACAAAACTTTACTACTTACTCTACTTTTACTACAGTCAGGGTTCCCACTCTTTTTCACTGACAAAATTTAAAAACTTTTCCATGACTTTTTCATGACCTAAAGTGAATTTTCCATGACTTTATGCCACCTACATGTGTAGAATTGATCAGACTTTTAGGGCTGAATATGAAATGTTAACCCTTTTCACTCACCTTATGGTTTGGTTTTATAGTTTTGTAACATTCAGAATACTGTCAGTGCATTTATTGTCGTCTCTTTTAAACAAAAGTTCAGAAATAATCATAATAGCCTCATGATAACTTAACAGAATGCTGTAGTTGTGTGAAAGAGAGACTAAAATTCCATGACATTTCTAGGCCTGAAACATTACATTTTCAATTTCCATCACTTTTCCGTGGGAACCCTGTACAGTATTTATTTAGCTCACGACTACTTCTACTTGGGTTGTATTGATGCATTATGTAATTTTTCCTGGGGCGACCTCAACCCTGTAGTTTCCATGAAGATGTTACTGTTTTGCCTGGAATAGTCCACAGTATGGCTTTAAAGTGATCCATCGTGCATTCATTTAGTTCAGAAAAAACTGCACTTGGGTCTGTACATATGAAATCAGCTGCCCTCCCCTATGAGCCGTCTCAGATTTATAAGCATTTTCGAGAGACCATAACTTCATAAAAAATAGAGCTAGGAAGCTAAAAATTTGCATTACTGTAGATTCTTGGTCATAGATTCTAAATCTGTTGTCAAATATTGGGTATCTTTATTAAGGGGGGTGCTGTGGGCCCCCAAAATCTCAAATCTGGTTGCTGCTCAAATTTTTTTTCAATTTTAAAGGTCCAAGATCTATTTACTCCAAGCAAATATTTACAAACTAACTGCTGAATATTTGAGAGAATGACCATTTCTGACAATAATCTCACACTTTTCTGAGCTTTCATGTGGATGGTGTAGAGCCCCAAATATCATCACAGACCAAATGTGATCTTTCGGGCCCCTTCTTTGGACCCTCAGTTCCCCATGTGGGCACAGACAGATGTTGATCAAATTTTTACCAGAGAAAGTTTGGCATATTCTGATTAACACCTCCTTAATAAAGATTCCCAATATTTGACAACAGATTTAGAATCTATGACCCAGAATCTACAATAATACAACATTTCCTCGCTCTATTTTTAATGAAGTTACGGTCTCTGAAAAATGCTTATAAATGAGGATATCTGAAAAAGTGAGCATGGCCCCAAAATTTCAATGGGCCATAACTCAGGAATGACTGAAGTGATTGAGGTAAAATGTTTGATTTGTTCATTTGGCAAATTTAGACATTTTCTTCTGAAAAATGTTCAGCAAAATCTGAGATGGCTCATAGGGGAGATTCCTTGAAAACGGCTGATTTCATATGGACTGACCCACTTTCGAGGTGGAGGTTGGTTTTCCCCGAGTCCCGTGCACAATAAAATGCAGCATTTCCATAGAGAAAAACACTTTAATGCCATACTGTGGAACATTTAAGGTATATCTATGCCATTTTAATGTAGACAAGTCCCAGAAAAGTCACATGGAGCACCTTTAAGTGACGCTACAACTTTGTACTTCAGCTATTCGCCACTCTACCCACCTCTAGGCACGAGAATGAACGACAATGTTGGAACTGATGTGGTTTATCGCACAGACATGCATCAACGTTCCCACAACAGATGAACATGGAGTAGCCAAGCATCACAACCAAAGCAGCAAAACCCATAAGGCACGACGTACACTACAAGTACAGTACAGTACAGTGTGTCACAGCTACGGCAGGACTCTAGCGGGGATGGAGAATACCTTCGTTCCGTCTGTGGGGTTGTGGATTACTGTAGTTTGGGGCTCCTGATTGGAAGCCGCAAGAAAAGTTGAACACAAGCAGGTTAAGATTCAAATCAAGTCAAGTCAACCAGGAAAATATGTAAGATACCAGACTATGTGGGC